TCTAATAGATGGAACTTGTAAAAGAAAGGAGCCAGGGGCTCCTCCCAAGCCTATGTGACCCCTGAGGAACCGATCCTCAAATGGCCTTAAGATTAAAAACAAATTGGTTTATCTGGGCCAACTGTAAGACCTTAAACACCCAAAAAGGAAAGTATAACCAAATATTAAAGGGGCCAATATAATTTTTTAAGAGTCCATATGCATAGCTAAAGGCTACATAACAAGCAAAAGTGCCAGATAGGCGATACCTTCTTTTGAGTTGTTGGCCACAGTGGCCAAAGGGACTCCCAGATAGTAACCCAGCATAGAACTGGGAAAATGAACAATACACCCCAATCTTATCTAAAGGAATATTGACAACTGATTGCTGCTAGATGAGTAACAGGTGACCTTCCTAAAACAAAGATCTTGAGATAGGCTGACTAGATTCACCAGATGGACAAGTAGTGGGGATTGGCTGGGGGTGCCGACAACACAGCAGACAGTAGCAGGGTTATCAGAGTATCAGTGCTCTAGTCGGGGTAGGGAGGTTTTCGGAAGATGCCATCTGGGAAGTGGGTGTATAGTTGAATTAAATGGTTTGGGATGTTCTGTGTGATATAAAGACACATAAAAAACCCAACAAATTTTTTTAAATGTATTATATTTGAGGAGGAAGCATAAAAATTACTTCATGTTAATTAGTAGAGGTGATGAACATTACCATTGAAATCTACACAATGACTTTACAGACATACACAGGCACTGAGGGTCCAAGTGCAACCAATTATGAGTAGTAATAATCAGATACATACAGATTAGAGATGCATAAGCCAACATTACAGTGTTAGTAGCAAAAACAATGAGTCTTTCTGCAAGGAACTATGTATTCTAAAATGAAATGGAGATCTTTTTTAAAGGTTAAAAACTCATTCAATTTTATTTCTTACAGGGCTTATACTGAGTTCAATATTGTATAACTGTATTAATTCAACTGTGAACCTAGAAACTTGCACCCACTTGTGAAAAAGATGTACTCTTGCTCTGGAATGTGTTACTGAATATGCTAAAGCTGTAATGAAATGCTTCTTCTAATTATGTAGTTATTAAAAATTTTTTTAAAATAATGATTAAAAAAGTAAGTAAATAAAATTTTAGGATTTTTTAAAAATATGATTAAAAACCCCAAATAAATAAATACCTAAAATAAAAGCAGCTAGATGTGGTGATGCATGCCTTTGTCCCAGCACTCAGGAGCTGGAGGCAGACAGGTCTCTATGATTTCGAGGCCAGCCTTGTCTAGTGAATTCCAGGCCAGAGCTACATAGTGAGACCCTGCCTCAATCCCTGCCCCAAAATAAAATAAATTAAAATGGTGAAGATGGGGCTTGGAAGGATGGCTCAGTGATTAAGAGTGCTTACTGCTCTTGCAGTGGACCTGGGTTCAATTTCCAGAACCCAAATGGTAGCTTGCAACTGTCTGTAACTCTAGTTCCAGGGTATCTGACACCCTCTTTTGAGCTCCACGGGCACCAGGTATACACGTGGTGCACACACATATATGCAAGCAAACACTCATACCCATAAGATGTATCTTTTTTTAAAAAAAATGGTTAAATGGTAAATTTTACCCTATGTACATTTTGTCACCATAAAATAATCATTAACAAAGTAGTAACACAGCCTAGGAGTGTATCTCAGTAGCAACTATGTAGCATGCACAAGACCTTGAGCTCTATCTTTAGCAATGCAAAAACAAGCAAAAAAGTAATAAGTGGCTGGGGCTGTAGCTCAGGTGGTATAGTACTCGCCTACCACATTCAATACTCTACATTCAATACCCAGTATGCATTAAACTGGGTGCAGTGGTGTACACTTCTCATCCCAACACTTAAGAGGCAGGAGTATTAAAACCTCAAGTTCTCGCTGGGTGTGGTGGCGCACGCCTGTAGTCCCAGCACTTGGGAGGCAGAGCAGGTAGATCTCTATGAGTTCAAAGACAACCTGGTCTACATAGTAAGTTCCAGGCCAGCTGGGGCTACAGGGAGACCCCGTTTCAAAAAAAAACCCTTCATGTTCAAGTTCATCCTTCGCTACACAGTGGGTTCAAGGCCAGTCTTGACTACATGAGACTCTGCCTCAAGGGAGAGGGAGGGAGGGAGGGAGGGAGGGATGTACCTCAGTTGGTAGAGTCCTTGCCTAGAATGCATAAAACCCTGGATTCGGCACTACATGAATTACACATGGCAATTTGTTTTCTTAATTTTTCATAACATAAATTCAATGTACAGAGTGATGGGCTTCATAAAGATATTTTCACTCAAGAATGTCATGTATTTTGACCATATTCATTTCCCATTACTGTTCTCCTGGCCTGTCCCTACAAGTCACCATCCCCTTCCTCTTTCCTCTGTGTGTGTGTATGTGTGTACACCCACTTGACCATGCCACTGACATGTGGAGCTCAGAGGACAACTTGCAAAATTCAGTTCTCTCCTTCCACCGTGTGAGTTGTGGGGATGAAACTGAGATCCTCAGGTTTGGCAAGTGCCTTTTACATACTCAGCCATCTCGCTGGTCCCTCTTTCTCTTTTCAAAACTTCAAATCAAAATATTATACGTTATATTTAATTAATTTTACTTGCAACAATAGCCATTTTCAAATAATTTGAAAGTACAGTCGTTTAGATTAATTCCTAACTTTTGTTTAGATCTGTCTATCCTATCTATCTATCTATCTATCTATCTATCTATCTATCTATCTATTATCTATCAATCATCTATCTAATAGTGGGGCATCAGGTGTGCTACAGCACACACACATACTTCAAAGGACAACATGCAGGAGTTGATTCCCTCCTTCTGTCATGTGGTTCCCAGGGATCAAACTCAGGTGGGTCAAAATTAGCAGCAAGCACCTTCACTCAGATCAATCTCAGTAACACAATTCCTAACAGTTCTGTAAAAACAGTGTAATATATACCTTGTTCTTGGTCGCTGCTCATCCTCAGATTCACTGACTTCTTCACTAACTCCTGACTCCTGAAAATCAGAATCTTCTGAATCTTCACTGCTCACTTAAATTTAGAAAAAAAAATTACTAAATATTTTTCAAAAGGAACTTAATTTGCTAATAACTCCACATTAAGAGAATTGTTATACAAAGAATATCAAGAGTATATACATAAATTTATGTTAATTACATCATATAAAACATACAATTTAATGATTCAAATGGTACCCGTTGAACATTCCTAATCAGAAGATCTGAAATGCTCCAAAATCTGAAGCTGTCTGAGCACCAACATGATTCCACTACTAAAAACTTGCACATCTGACCTCAAGTGCCAAGTTGCTGCCAAAATGCAGGTGCAATAGGCATACTACATAAAATTACCTTCAGGCTATGTACATGAGGTGTACGACACATGAATGACGCTTCTATTTTGATATGGGTTTCTTCTCCGAAAATATCTCATTATGTACATACCAATATTTCAAAATTTAAAAATTCTAATCAAAACACTTCCGTTTCCAAGCTTTTCAGATAAGATACACTCAACCTCTATTTATTAATATAATTGAAATTTATACCAGATATAATTATAAAACTATAGTTCTACATCAAAATATGGGTATTTGATTGTATATGGATTGACAAAATGAAAATTACCAGTACATAAACTATGTAAGTAATTAACAAAAGGTAATTTAGGTAAAAATAAGTCTGGCTATTTAAAACAAAGTAGGCTGCCCAAGATAAAAGGATTACAGACTCCCTGCCAATGAAGACAGCTAAAAATTATGAGCAGAACAAGGAAAGAAATGACCTGAGGACTCTGAAAGAGATGCCAACAGCAAGCAGACTGGTGGCTGAAACCAAGACCTGAATAATGGCTCCCCTATCATGGGAGGAGGGCACATGACAAGATAGCTGTTGCGTGCCTTGAGTCATTTTCTTCCTTTGTCTCCTGATTTTTTAAATTGAATTTTTGCGATTCTCATACAATACAATTTGATAGTGTCTCCTGCTTTTAACTGGAAGGCAGGAAGAATTCCAAAACTATATAGAGGACCCTGAGCGCAAAGCTGTCACAATTTTCTGGCCACACACTTACACTAGACATGAGGTCTGATGTTGTGACTAGTGTATGAAGGGGATCTCCAGTACTGTCATAGTAACAGAAGCATAAAAATTCCAGAAGGCCGATCTTTCTGGACAGAGCAAGTAAGGGCAAGGAAAATAAGATGAATCTGGATAATATTCCAGCGCCAGAAAGTAAAGCAGTGTTCAAACAATGATGAATTCATGTTGAAAAGGACACAGAACCTTAACAGGAGGGAACTTCCAACAGCCAAAGCTAAAAGACCCTAGGTAACCATAGTCCTGGATTTTAAGAACAGTGGCTCCATAGGTAGTGACAAAGTCCCAACTGTACTGGTGCAATAATTTTTGCTTTGGTATTTTGTTTCGTTTGAAACAAGTGCTCCCACTGTAGTCCAGGCTGGCCTAGAACTCATGATGAGGGCCAATCTGGCTTGAGCTTCACAGCAATCCGATGCCTGCCTCTGCCTCTCAAGTGCTGAGATTGCAGGCATGCAACCAAACACAGCCATACTTCTGTGGTGGTAATCCTGTCAAACTTTGTAAGGATCTCAATTTTATCATGAGCAACAATGCACAAATACATTTTAAAGGAAGAACTGAGAAAATGAACCAACATTTTTCAAAAATGCCAAGATCATAAATGGAAAGACAAAGACTGTCACAGATCGACAGATTTAAGGAGACATTATAAATGAATGCAATAGGAGATTCTTAACTGGGTATCAGAACAGAAAAGGGAAATTACTAGCAAAACTAAAAATATCTGAATAAGAAACATACCTTTTATCAGAGAATAGAAAACATGTTATAGAGCACATGGTCTCCAATTCAAGTACTTATCTCTCCTCAACTTCGCCATTTTACATAAGTGAAAACAGGCAAATGAATAAATATAGCAGTGTTTCCATGAAACTATGCATAAAAACAGATTAGACTCATAGTATCATTAGCTAACACCTGGCTTCGTTAATTAGCACAACACCAATGTTAATTTCCCAATTTTAATAACTGAATGATGATGAGTATAAGATTACAATCATCAGAGCTAGATAAAAAGTATAAAGGAACTCTGGATAATTTTTTTTAGACAAGGTCTCACTTTGTCTCCCAGCTGGCCTGAACTCTCTATGTAGAACAGGCTGGCCTTGAACTCACAGAGATCCACTGCCTCTGCCTCTCAAGTGTTGGGATTAAAGGCGTGTAGCACCACGCCTAGCATCTCTAGATCATTTTTGCAACTTATCTGTAAATCTATAATTATTTCAAAACTTAAAAATCTCAAGATCGAGTTTGACTTCAGATCAAAATTAAAGTTCTATTTGACCTAAAACACAGAAGAGAATATATATACTTATAAAATTTACTATGGCAGAATACTTATTTAATATTAAATAGGCATAGAAATTCTATTTAAAGTGACTGAAAGGTTCTAGATCTAGATAGTAGTAATTATATACAATGTGATACACCAAACTGTACACTTAAAGATATCTAAAATGGAAAATTTTGTATATGTTTCACCATACACAAAAAACAATTACTAAGCAATTAGGAAGTTGAAGGAACTATAGAAACACACTAACATGCACGGCCACATGTATACACTATCAAACTCTGATTAAATGTAATTTTAATCTAGCATTAATTTTTCATCCAACATTTAATCTTTATAATTTTTAAACTTAACAAACTTTCTAATCATTCACAGAGCACCTGCTTCCCTTTTCCTATACTTGTTGCTATCGGTTCACCATATTTATTTTATCTCCATCCATTCATCCATCCATCCCTCCATCTATCCTCATACATCTTTCTGCACTGAACCACTACGCTTTATCCCATGCATAAAGATATCATCAATATTATAAAAGCTGAAAACTGAATCTATCATTACTTTAGTTTACAAATTTTCTGTAAAATAACTGTATAGCATTTTTCAATTATAAGAAAATGAAATTTCACATGCTGTACAATTTTTTATACATTTAAATTGAATTTAACCTAATTGATTAAACTGTGTAAGTATACAATTCTGCTTTGTTTCTACACCATCTCCCAATTCTAGTTCCTACACAATACAGGAATAGCAAAATTCACAAAACAAAATCATGCAACTCAAATCTGAGTATCAATTACTATAACCACAAAATATGGAAGAATCTTTCAAAGTTTAATCCCCCCTACACAGAAAAAAAAGAACACTTGGGTAATAAAGTACCAAATGAATGAGCAATAGAAATGTATGTGACAGGAAACACCCTATTCCTTCATCCAGGTGCCCTACATGCTCATGAAATAGCCCATTTATGATCATTTTTAAAAATTACTGTGCATAAACAGGTGCACACGCATATGGAAGGCAGGGGCTGATGTGCTGGGTCTTCCTCTATTGCTTTCCACCTTATTTGTTAAGACAGGGTCTGTCATGGAACCTGGCATACACAGATTGGCTAGACTGGTTGGCCAGCAAGATCCTGGGAACCACCTATCTCCACCCACCCAGCACTGGGGTGCTGCCATGCCCAGAGTTTTACATGTGTGCTAGGGGTTTCCATCTCAGGTCCTCATGCTTATGCAACAAGCATGTAACCCACTGAGCTATCTCTCCAATCTATCACTTTTTATATGCAAACAAAAAGTCTATTTTTACAAAGTGGTAGTATTCCTCTGTGAATATATTAAAAGCTATAACATTTATATCATAAATGAGTAAAATACATGATTTTTAAAAAAATTTATGTGTATGCATGTATTGCTTGTGTGTAGGTAAGTGCACCTGTGTCATGCAATGCCCACGGAGGACAGAAGAGGCTGTCAGATGCCCTGGGACTGGAGTTACAGTTGTTAGCTGCCGTGTGGGTGCTGGGAATCGAATCCAGGACTTCTGCAAGAACAGTGCTCTTAACCGCTGAGCCATCTCTCCAGCCCCAAAATACATGATTTTTAAAATTTGTTTATTGAGATAAGATCTTACAATGTACCTCAGGCTGGCCTTAAACTCATGTCAATCCTCCTGCCTCAGGATCCTGAGTCCTGGGATTATAGGCATGAGCCACCATGCCCAGTTAAATGCTGTTGTTGGTAGCAGTGGTGATGGGTGTGTGTTTGTCGTGTAGCACTCTGCAAGTGAACCGAATTCCCAGCCTCAAAATGTATGATTTGCCAATGATATCTGAATACAGCTGTTAAATATAAATATAAAAATAAAGACTGCAGAGGTCTGAGGTAAACACACACTTCACAAGCATCTATTAAGATATACAACCATAAAGATATTTTAAACTGGTACTTTGTTTCTTTAACATTTCTTCCTATTAAAATCTATCCTAAAATATTCTTATCCTATAATCTGTGGAGTTTCCAAAGGATAAATTTTACTTTCTCTTTTTTTGTATATTTTTATTTAATTTTTGTGCATTTTAATTTTGTGTAAGTTCATCCACTGGCGTCTAGTCAGCCTACCTAGAGTCATTCCCTTAAAGATCAGCTCTTCCTCATCCAGCAGTAATCAGCTGCCCAGTAGTTCTTCAGCTGAGTTTGGAGCCTGCTGCCCAATTCCACAGTTCTATGACTAATGAAAATATATTTCTAAAACATGCTTTAAAATCTTTCCAACAGGTTCTTAATGCTTAGACACAATAAAACTATGAATACTTCTTTTTTTGCATATTTTTTATTAAATTGTTGTGTATTTCATACACAACATCTTAATCATCTTTATATCTCCCTCCCCACCCCACTGGATTTCATGCATTCTGTCATTTATGTTAAGGCCTATAGAGTCAAGTTAGTGTTCCCGGACATCCCTTAGTGAATACGTCTTTAAATTAAAAAATAAAATAAAATAAAAGCCATTTAAAGGAAAAAATAAAAGAAAAAAATAAAAATAATTTTTAAAAATACTTTAAAGGCTCTTTAGCCTCTATAGCCTTGTACGTCTCCAAACGTGATTTGCTATTCTTTATTTTTTTTAAGGTTTCAAAGGTACTTTATTTGTTTCAATATGCCATATTTTAATACATGATTGTTTTATATGGCATTACTTGTGCAATGGTTTTTAAACAACTCATTGATTATTATACCAGCTGGCATGATTACTGGTCTCTCCATTCCTTTGGGGTGACTCTGCCAACAGGGGACAAGTTCCATTCTATTCCAATTTGTGTTGCTGTATATGTCCATGTAGAAATACAGAAAATGGCTCTGCTTGCTAATATAGCATTACCATATTTGTCATGGAAATCGGGTGTCCGTTTCCGGTGGCTCCTCCTTGCCATTGTTTGCAGAATGCTTCAAACTTGGAGATGACTTAGTGTGGTTTTAGCCAAGGGAAACATCGTGGAGATGAAGATGGAACCGCAGCAACTCCAGCTGCACAGAGGATACCCTTACAGACTACTATTCTTTATTTTTAATGGAATGGATTAATTTTATTTATAGTTCATGGCAGAGAAGAGTTAATCTGCCCTCAAGAAGTATGGCCCCCCCAGTCTTATCTATCTGTCCCAAATAAGGGAAAAATTACTTTGAATTTTGTTGACCCAAATTCTCAAGCAAATGAATATCACATTTAAGTGGCCAAACACATTATTACGTAATACAAGAGTATCCTCCTCAATATCTTAAGTAAAAGAACACACTAGATAGCACCAGCAAGTTAAGTTTGAGAAAAACAGGCTTACAAAGGCTCACTGTAATATTTTTCCTTTCTCTCATCTGAAGCCTTGCTACACAAGGTAACTACATTCCCTCCACCATGTGCCCACACAGGCTTTTTCATTTCTTGCCTTTTTGTATTAAAAATCTTTACAACAAAAAGAATGGAGCTATAAGTCAGTAGGAGGGTACTTGCCTAGCATGTTGAAGGCCCTGGATTCTATCACAACATACTCCCCAAACTTTTTGCAACACAACTGCCTACCTGCTCCCCGTTTTCCACTTGATTTGCTGGGTAAAACACTTGCTCTTTGTGAAGCCTTCTCTGGGGATCAACTGCACTTCCTAAAAAGCTAAATAACCCTTTGTGGCAGCACAGTACCTGGTTATATTAAGCACCATTATGGTGCCACAACTCTTTAGAACATTAGTGTCTGTAATTTTTATGAAGCGTGCTACATATCAAAATCACTGACATACTTCTAAAACATTCAAATCTCACCACCACTGACTAATACATAATTGGGTTCATAGATGAACCCTAGACATAGGTAAATTTTCCCTTTTTTCCTTTTAATTGACACATGATTGTTTATATTTATGGGTACAGTGTGGTCATTCAATTCATGTAAATGATGCATAATGATCAAGTCAAAGCAATTAGTATTTCTAGCTCCTTAAACATTTATTTGTGATGGGAAATGTCAACCTCCTCTCTTCTAGCTTTTTATAAATAGTAAATTATTATAGTCACCCTGCTATGCTATAGAATACTACAACCATTCCGCTTACCTAAGTGCATTTGGTAGCTACTGGCCAGCCGCCTTCCTCTATGCCCTTCTTCTCCCCTTTCGTAACCTCTATGTTGCCATTGGACACTACTCTACTTTCTACTTCACAAGATCAAATGTTTAGTTTCTGCATGAGAACATGTAGCATTTGTCTTTCAGTGCCTGACTTCTTTCAAGTCATATAAAATCCCATCATTTCATGCATTTTAGTATTCCCCGAAGTTATCCACATATATATCCAAATTAAAAGCTGGGATACAAATGATTTTCTTTTTTTTTTTTTTTTGAATTCTCAATACTTAATATGATCCTGGATACATGGAAGCCGCTGAATGGAAAAGGACTCATGCTAGGTAGAGTGGCATATACTGTACTCCAGGCAGTGCTCATGAGGCTAAGGCGGATCATCGATTTGAAGCCAGACTGGGTTATATGACAAGACCTTGTCTAAAAACAGAAAATGAACAAAAAGGATTCAGACTTTGAATATAAAGAAAACTTAATCTGACTATATGGAAATCAACTTTTGTATATAAGCCTACAGAAATCTACCTAGATTAACTGCATCTTCTATTTTCCATAGAAAAGCACTTTTTGTACTTACAGTTTCATGTAATCTTACTTACATAGCCTTCAAGTATACTTACTTATTAAATCAAATTTATTTTTCTTTATCACTTTAAACATATATGATGACAAATTCTAGGTTACTGTCCTACTTTAAATTTTCATTTAACCTATGTAAGAGAATAGTTTTTGTTGTTGTTTTGTTTTGTTTTTTGTAAGAGAATAGTTTTTACTAGGTTACTGATACACTCAGTATCAGTGCTTGTCTGAGTAGACATATTCAAATTTCATTACTAGAGCTCATTCACAAAAAACAATTTTCCTTACACTCAGAATTAAAATGTCTTACCTGGCCGGGCGTGGTGGCGAACGCCTTTAATCCCAGCACTTGGGAGGCAGAGGCAGGCGGCTCTTTGTGAGTTCAAGACCAGCCTGGTCTACATAATGACTTCCAGGACAGCTGGGGGTACAAGGAGACCTTGTCTCAAAAAAAAGACAAAAAAATGTCTTACCCTTTCTTCTATTTCTGCTTTTGGCTTCTTTATGTTCCTTGGGCTTTGTCTTTTTTTCTTCTCCAGATTCTCCATCGCTCACAGTCAGTTTGTACCTCAAAAGCCTATGTCTGTATCTTGGCTTCTTAGATTCTTCAGAATCTGAATCTGATTCAGAATTGACTTGATTTTTGGATTCTAAATTTTAAAAAAGTATTAAAACCCTCTTCAGAAAATTTTCTTTTAAATGTGTTTTAAAAACTGTGCTGACTGTGCACCTTGGTATCATTGGTGACAGTTAAGTAATCTCATCTGTCAGCACTGGTTCTTAAATACTGGCTATCACCAGTGCATTAACACTTTAAAGTATAAAATATTTTGCTTACATGTTTATTGACAGTAACTGATAAAACTAGAATAACTTCAACATTATTATAAGATACTCAAAGGCGTGATGGTAATAAAGCTGTAAACATTTTTAAAAACTTTAATGCATATATTGAGATTTCTAGGTCAGATAATTCTTAAAGGACTGAATGGTCAAAGAATCAAATTATGACATCCTATATTTCTCTTTGGGGAGCTCACCCTCATCTCCTGGGGTTTCTTCATTTTGTTTTCCAGTTCTTTTTTTCTCTCCTTCTGGTTCATCATCTGAAGATCCATCCTCATCAGAGGAAAGATTGGCTTTAATTTCTTCCAAAAGCATCTTCTTGGCAATTCTTGAGAATAAAAAATAATAATAAAAAGCTATATACCAGGGGATAAAGTGCCAAATTAAAAACAAAAACAGAATTCTCTGTATCAAAATGGAAAAAACTTTCAAATGTTTTCAATTTTATACATAAATAAGACACTAGCAAAACTATGTTTCTACTTAAGCTACCAATGAACACTCTTAAAGGTGTTCACTGCACTGATTATTTCTCAATTCCATACAAATCTGCAAGAGAGTCGAAGTTCTCAGGGATGTAGTCTATTGACTGTTTTGACCAATTAAAACTTGAGGCTGTCATCATCCAGTAACTAGAATGTGAGACAGGCCAACAACAGTAAATGCACTTATCCAGACAAATGGCATTCCAAGACAAAACTCCACAGAAGTGGTTTGATTCAGCAGGAAAACATTCTCAGGAAAAAAAAAAAAACAATATAATAAACCACTAAAATATGAAAGTACTTGAAACTGGAGGATAATATGTTTGGACCTTAATTTAACTTTACTTCATAATTCTGTTAAGTATAAATAAGTAACACCAAACCTAAGTACCGATGCAATAAGAAATCACTACTAATAATCAAGCTAGGGCAGGGAAGGGACATGAGTGCTATTGTTACACATGTGGGAAAAGACACGAATTATCAGAAATGAGTTTACAGTTTCAGAAAAAAGTTATAGCTTTGCGTACAAGATTTCTCAAGATGCTTCTTGGAGACCAATTTCCTAACTGAGTGCTTAATGAGAAAACACATCTTTTACTAATATCAAGAAACCACATTCCTAGGAAATTTCCAAGTTTGCACTAAAGAAAATTATCTGAAAGTGTAAGATAAAAGCAATCAAGTTTTTGTACAAGGCAAGGTGACAGATCAGTCTGGGGATTCTTTTGCCATGAATTCATAAATCACACTGACAAAGACATATCAAATAGAAAGATTCAAAAAGAAGGTGGCAAGATTCTAATAGTCTGTAATGAGCTAATGTTTATAAGATCAACATCCATTCAGCAAATCAAGACTGACTAGCTCAGTGAAAATAATGTTGCTGAGATTATGGAACCTTTGCTGTTTCTTGATTTGAAGGCCTTCTTTCCATTTCTTAGCAACTGCTTTCATTTCGATCAAGAATTCATTCAGTGGCAAGAGGTGTTAATGTATGTTAAGGCCTCACTTTTGACAGATACACTATTCACTGATATTTATATTCAAAGATGCATAGTAAACACACCTAGATGGAAGCAAAACAGGGAATGACTTCCATAAATGTTTATTATATGCCTTTTTGTACTTTCTTCACAGAGATGGATCAGAAATACTTAAGATATCACAGAAAATCACTGGCTGATAAAAGAAGCCACAGGTGAGTTTGCTTTTCTGAGGGTTTCTACTCTGATTTGTATTTAAATATAGTATAGATTAAATCACCCCAATGAAAATCTTACTAGAGTTGAGCAATAAAGCTTTGCTCTCATACTTGTAGATCAGTGGTTTGCTTTCACACAGGAAACATCTTAGAAAAGGAGACTAATAAAAGATTTCAACATTTTATTTAGCCAAAAGAAAAATCAAATACTATTTACTCTTACCAGTTTACAAATAAAGAATATACAATGCATCTTCCTCAAATTAGTAAACCATTGCTGGGGCTGGAGAAATGGCTTAGTAGTCAAGCACACTGGCTGCTCTGGCAGAGGACATAGATTCAGTTCCCAGCACCCACATGGCAGCTAACAATAGTCCTTAAGTCTAATTCCAGGGGATCCCACGCCATCTTCTGGCCTCTGTGGGCGTTGCATGCCCAGGTACACTTACATACATGCATGTAAAACCCTCAATCACATAAAATAAAAATAAATCAAACTAGTAAACCATTGCAGAATAAAGGGACGTCCCTTAAATTGAATAAAAGTATGAAAGTATGGATAAGTTTTTCTAAAAGCCTCCTTAATACATAGAAGATAATTACTTCTCATGGACTAGGAAAACCTCTCTCAAGTTAATTTAGATAATGTATTTTGAGATGAAGGAATAAATGTTTATAGGTATACAAATTATATGAAGTGCTAAATACTAGATTAGAAATGGAAAATCATTACAATAGATTTTCATCATCATTTGGGCAGGACAGTAAAGAGCCAACAGAACTATATCCTTAATCTAGTAACTCTATATATTGGTGCAATAAACTGACTTCAGTTTATGTCTACAAATTCAAAAAGCCTTAAAATTCCATACTAACTGTAAAAATTTGGCTGTTAATTATAAGCAACCACATAATTTTTCTTCTTCCAAATTCTAGACACTAACAATGTGTCTACTAAATGGGAAGTGAAAATATGTAAATCTACCTAATTCATCCTGAAGGTCTAGATTGTCAAATAACTAAGGAATATGACGTAGATGACATAAGATACAGCTGGCTATTAACTAATAAATCACATAATAAATTACCGAAAATGAAATCACATCCACATACTAAAGAATTACAACTTACCAACAGCCTTCAGTTATTATAATATGGAGAACAATCACAAGTCATTTTAGAAGCAGATAAATCACAAACAGATATTTTTCTCCAAATCGCTAGTTAAATACAGAGTAATGGACACTCCTTAAGCTTTTCAAGACTAAGATATCTTGTATATGTCCTTGAACATTATTTGACCAAAAGAAAACCTTGTTTATAGCCAAGAATACTAATACAGTTCAATCATTTTGCATATATTGTGACTGGTGGATCAAATCCGTTATGTCAAAGAACTACTATGCTATAATCCTAACCTATAACATAATCTCCTACACCCCAAAATTACAATTTAATTTAAAGGACCTAAGGATTGAGGCTGACCTTCAACCTGAGTAGTCAACTAGTATGTTGAGGTGGGATATGTCCCACCTACAAAGCCTGCTGTGAGATGCTTTAAAGGGAAACTCCACTACCTTAACTCTGGAGTCACGGGCCACAGAGACTTCAAAGACATCATCACTTGAGAACCAGCTGAGGCTGGCAAAGCATCATTTTGGAGGCCTTGGCTGGACCCATGCTGGTATGCATGTGATGGATGTATAGTCATGATCCCTAGTTGATTCTGTTTGTTCTGAAGTTTCCTTTCTTGAGGCTTTCCAAGACGTTTCTGGGAAATTCATTCAGGAAACAAGGTACTGCCCCTGGTTTCAATGCTCAAAATTGTATCTTGGGGCAGGTGTAGCATCCAAAGCAGTCAGGACTCTATCAGAAACATTAAAGGAACAGCATGTGCCACTCTCATGGCAGAAAACCTGGGCAGTGCCTGAGGTAATAGAGCCTCCTTTTTCCTGAAAGGGGGGGGGGGGAGAGGGGAGAAAGCAAAACAATATGGGAGTGGGGTAAAACCCCACAAACAAATAATGATCAGAACTGGCGGGCGAGAGACTAGGACCCCCAAATCCATATAAACTAAGTCTTCTAAATTACACAACAAACACTAAAACAGTGCCTTATTACACCTCATCTAATAAAAGAAAACAAAAATAAAATTAATAGGAAATGAGCCTAATAACACAAACAAGCATCAGGAAAACAAAATTAGAAAGCCAAGAAAGCCTTTAGAAATTATGATCCTCTCTAGAAAGAAAATGAGTAATGCTTCACTAAAGTGCCCAAACAAGAAAGGAAACTGCCTCTTGATGGAATGCAGAGCAATAATTCACAACATCAAATATAAAGAGCAACTGAGAGAAGGATCTCCTGCACCAGGAAGCTTTAGAGAAACAGCCATAGAAAAGCAACATAAAATGTTAGGGCTAGAAGAAAGAACCTTACATTCCATCCACATCCTTTATAGATAAAGAAACGAGCTTACAGAAGGAAAATGACTTAGCCAAATACACAAAGCTAGTTAGTGACAAAGCCAAGAGTAGAGTCTAAGATCCTAGATCCCAATCTACTGTTAGTTGTAGTTTACCAGTGCTATATTCTCCACTCATTAACTACTGTGCTAACGAATGCCTGCATAAATATATTACAGTCACATTTTTCAAAGATATATACGTGTGTTTATGTGGGCTTCCCTGACTTTTAATGTATGCCTTTACAAATGAAGAATCCAATCTTTGATTTTTAGAGATTTTTTAAAAGATTGGGACCAAGAATATACACTCCAGTATGCTTTATCTCTAAAATATACTGACAAGCCATGTGATATAACTGACAAGTACTATTTTACTATTTAAGAGGTCCCAAAACAGGGTTAAGGGAAACTGCCAAGTTTAATTTTTAGAAGGTTGTTCGTTCATATACAAAAGTAACAAAATTTCTTTAAGAATTGTTTTTCTACATTCTGTATTCAGTATCACAATAGAATATATAGTTCACAAAATTCCAAATAAGATCATAGGTTTAAGTGCATGTTATTTAAACAAAATAATTTTCTAACTATACGTAACACTAAAACATCACATTATATTTTCAAGTTTATAAAACAATCCAAAGTCATAAAGCAAAGGATGTTACATATTTCTTCAGTATGAAAAAAAATGGCAATCAGATATCCTTCTAGCAGAGTGTATGGCATTGTTTTAATAAATGTCTTGTACTTTAAGAGTTATTTAAAATGACATTTCATGAGTTACTGTGGAATTCTTCAAATTTTATACTAGCATATTATTTTTACCCAGGTTCAAAATTAGTACCTTGATATGAAGTTCTCATAATGGCATAATGATCTATACCCAAACAAGATGAAATTCATGAGGAATGACAAATTCACCAAATAATCAAAAGCTAAACAGTTCAACTCACTTTTTCAGTCTTATGTCCTATAATGTCTGTAACCAATGAAAAGCAGCCCTGCTTTTTTCTTTTTTGTTGAGGGCGCCAGGAAAATTAGTATCAAAAGATTCTCTTTAAAAAAAAGATTAGATAAATAAAAGATGCTTGAAATTAAGAAGACCTAATTCTAAGATTAGGTGTGGTGGTACACACCATTGATCCCAGCACTCAGGAGGCAAAAGCAGGTGGATC